GCGGGGCCCGCGCTCGCGAGGCTGCTCGTTTGAATATTCGGGACGCTCTCGCGCTTGCGTGGCAGAAAAGGTATCCGCGTCGCGCTTCGTCGGGGAGCTTGCTTTTGCGAGGCGAGCTGCCGTCGCGAGCGCCACGCCCTCCCCCCCGAGGTCGCTTGTGGGTCACGCGATGGTTCAGAGGTGTGCGCGGGAGGCGTGCTCGGGGCCGGTGCGGGTGAAGCCGTGTACAGTACGTGCAACTGCTATATCTTTTACGTACCCACCGGAATTGAACAGTGCAGTGCAGTACTGTACCGCCTGTGCGCTGCAGATTGTCGTCATATCGTTCGCAACTTTTTTGACAAAGTGTTAAAGCCGTACCCTTCGAAGGGTTACATCTTTATTTACAACAGAGCTAAGACCCTCGAAGGGTAGCCCCTGTCGGAATATCTTACACGCACCACACGGAATCTGCAGGCATCTCACACCAACAACAATCCGCTATCGCGCCGAAGCGCTGAGTGCAAGTACCGTACAACAGTACGTACGTACATATTCTGTATAACAGAACAGCGTGCGCAATGAGCGCCCCCTCCCCATCTACAGTATCTACCTTTATCCTTTCTCCCCTTTATATCTACAGTATCTCCGCCACTACTGTAGTGTGTAGCTGGACGACAAGCGATTTGCCAGATACAGTAATGAGGTGAGGTATGGCCTCACGTCATTACTGTTTACAGTACAAAATATATTAAGGTTGTCCGTAAAATAACGCGCACAGTGCGTTATTTTATTTATGTGTTTTTTTCGTTTGCCCACAAAATCGCTGGACGTAAGGGTGACCCCACCGCCAACAAAATTTCTGTCCTAAAGTTCCAACCACTAAAGTTTGGACCGATGGACTAAAGTTCGGACCGATGGAAGAAATTTTGAACCCCACCGCGCCACCATTTGTCCTAAAGTTTAGAATTTGGGAAGGATTCTTTTCCAAACCAAAATTATTTGGTCGAGATTTTTGTCCAAAGCGCCGTTTGGGCGAGCTTCGTTCTATAGTAACGGTACAGAAAACATCTGAATTTCATGTGCTTACAGCTCTACCAAAGCTCTTCCAAATGGCATTGGGGCTGTTTTGACTGAAGTCCCATCAATAGTGTGGGACGCAAAAAGGAGTGTTGTGCAGCCTTCGCTCGTGGACATTTCCCATCTTCTCCCTCCTTCTCGTCTTCTGAGAAGTGCAGGCAATGGCTGAGGTGGTTACTAGGACTGATGACTCGGCAGTAAGAGTGAGGAAAAAGGGTAAGGGACTGGGGTGGTCAGACGAGGAGAATCTTGCCCTGTGCGTTGCTGAGAGCGCAGTGTCTGAGAACGCCGCGAATTGAAAGCGTGGTGTACTTGCCGAGTTGATAATTCCCAAACAGGAGCCTACATATTATGGAGAGCGGGCAAATGACGAGCAAAAGTTGCCGCCAATTGTGGAACAGACGCGTGCAGTAGCTTGCTTCTTTGCGCCAAATGTATTTCTACGACATACTCGTAGCCTAATTGGGGTGACCCTGAATATGAATAGATGTATCGTGTTACAGGCGCGGTGGGGTTCATCTCTGAATCACCACCTCCCCCAAAGCGCGGCTTGATTAAAAGATAGTAGATCCAATTACCGGAGGACAACTGTCTGCTTTTTGCGATTTTGGGCAAGGCGCGGTGGGGTCACCCTAAAGTAAACCCGAGATTGAAAAATTCCACCACGAGTTTTGCGGACTGCCCTCCAGCAGCGTGCCTGCCCGCAACAATGTCACTGAAAGTCGCGAGGCCGCGGCCAGGGTACGAGAGGTCAAACTCTCGCGAGGGACGTCTGGCCAGAGTGGGAGTGGGCGTCTGGAAATGGAGGCGAAAAGGGGAATGAGGCGGAGCGAGCAGACGCGTAAAGGGAAAGACGAAAGTAGCCTTTTCACATTTACTGATGTCCCTCTTAGCCGGGCGTCTGGCTACCCTCCGAAGGGTACAGGACGGCGGGACGGCGCTAAATACAGAGCAGGGAGTGGGCGGCGTCGGCGGGCTTGCAATCGTCCGCCGGCGCAAGTGTGACACGTGTGCCGTCGTGTGTACAGTAGTGCACGAATATTTCCTAGTGTCTATTGTACCGGCCAAGAGCCTCAATTGAGGGACCAATTATCCTCAATTGAGGTCCTCACGATTGCTCCAGAAGGGAGTTGTCTAGATTGTGTTTTTCACCTAAATGAACGGAAAAGCAGTCCCTGCCCTTCGCTGCACGACACAGCCAAACAATATTATCACTCACACTGCAAGCAGAACACAGGTGTGTGGTCTTGTGGATCTTACACACCCTACAGGTTTTTTGCAAAGCATATGCCGTAACTTTTCCATCCCTCTTACGTCGCCTTTGCTTCGTCGGAGTCAAGTGGATTCCGATTCCACTTGTCAGTCGTCCTGCAGGGGCCTCATTCTGTGATTTCGATGCTGTCGTGCATCTTCCTCTCAAGTATGGCCGTTCGTAAAAGTTGTCAATTAACTCTGTCGCCAATGCCTCGTAAAACGAACGTTGATTCATGTTCTTTCTTGAACCATGAGCCCCTTTCCAGAGCAACCAACTGTACTACACAAATTGAGAGCAACGATGTGTTCACACGGAAATGCCAGCTTTGAGTCCCAATTTTCTTTTCCATATCCAAAACTTCTTGACGGCAGCGATTATGTCTATCCACCTGGGCGCAACAACTGTAGTATATTTCGCAGACTTTTGGCTGCCGTATATGCACCTCTACGTTTTCTGGACCGCCCTCCACTTGCCTCCAGCGCTTGCGGAGGTAGGCGTCACCTTGCTCTGCACACGACGCTGTTGAAATAAAATACCTTCTATTTCTATCCAACCACATGAGCGCCATCATCATATTGTTTCCGTTTAGCCCCTTCCCTACCAGACTAATATGCTGTCCCCTCTCCGAAAGCTCTTGTTTCGAAAGGTAATCCATTGGATACAGCCTTGTCGCTGTCTTTACGACACCGATAAAATTGAGGTCCAACTTCAGCAGCATCTCAGCAGCATAAACACTTGCAAACTAAGAGTCTGCACACACGATTCTATGCGAACCGGACCACGGTGAAACGAGACGTTTCAAGACTGCAGCTCCATGTAACATGCTTCCCTCATTCTCTTTTTTCGCTTCATCTTCTGCCGTTGTCACTAACTCTAAACGCATCATAATACCGCTTCTCCCGCATGAGGCATCTTGTATTTCACACCCATGCTCGGGTTTGCGGTCAATTGCCACATACTGTGGGAGTCCCACGTCTATCCAGTGACCTCCTAGTCCATACCACCTCGAGATGGACTCATCGACACAAATAAGATCAGAAGGCGTCACACGCTTCAATCTGTGCATGTTGATAGCCTGCACAAAGTCGTCCACAAGTTTCCATCGAAATGACGCTGTCGAAAGATTTCCCTGGTGCGATGGCTGACGACTGAAGGGAACATTGCTTAATATATCAAAGAATCTATTTCGTGACATCCCCGTCCGACCAAAAAAAGGTGCAGGTATATA